GCAGTGGGGGACCCGTGGGGGACCTGTGCAGGGACCTGTGGGGGAGACCTGTGGGGGAGACCTGTGGGAGGGGCCTGCAGTGGGGGACCCGTGGGGGACCTGTGCAGGGACCTGTGGGGGAGACCTGTAGGGGGGACCTGTAGGGGGGACCTGTAGGGGGGACCTGCAGTGGGCACCCTCTCAGGAGTACCTGTTGAGGGCCCTACGTGGCTGGATAGGGACAAGGGGCAGGTTCCTGCCAGCGATGGATCCAGCTGCGGCAACAACACAAGGGTCTTTGTTTTAAGCAGAGATTAAAGTGGCGTCAAAGAAAACATGCACATAAACCTGTCTGGGCAAGATGCGGCTTTCCCTGAGAACAATCACTCACCATGCTAACACGAGTACAGTCTGTGGACCTGGGATCCCGCCCACCACGGCCACATTGACATAATCTCTGCACCAATGAGAAAGCAGGCTTCTCAAAACGTCTCCAGCCCTGAGGCTATCTCATCTGGGAGTGAAGTGGGCCGACACCCACCAGTGGTTCTGGGTAAGAGCCTGGTACTGGTGTGTGCAGAGCACGGGCATCCCTGGACCGGGGGATGGGAGTTCAGTCAGCAGCCCCTCTCTGCTCTTCACGAGGGAGTGAAGCAAGCACTGAGCAGAGGTGAGGGCACGCAGGCACCTGGCAGTGCTGAATCTCACACACACACACACACACACACACACCCGTTCCCTCCCGTGTTCTCACCTGCAGCATCCCCTCCCATGGAGTCCTCCTCCCAGGCTCACCACCTTGGCTGTGCTCTCGCTGGACCCAATGAGCCGCTGCACCCACCAGATAGCCCCTCAGAATGGACCCCCAGCTCCAACCTGTAGTATCTGTCACTAAAGACCTCTACCCCCAGGCTCACGCTGAGGCTTGGCTGTCCATCTGTCTGTCTGTCTCTAGGCACAGCAGATCCCAATGGCTATGGGATTGTGTTCCAGTAGAGAAAACTCACCCATGGTCCTGTTCCATCTGAGATTATCCTAGTGGCCGAGGCCATGGAGAGACCTGTCCAAGCACACAGAGTGCAGGCCTTGGGTCATGGGGCACCTGAGAAGCTGGACAATTTCACTGGACTTTACCATCTGGGGCCCACAGATAACCAGGTGCTGGGAGCAAGGCTTCTACCTCCAAGAGCTCTTTTTAGTTACCTCAGGAGCCAGAGGGAGCTCTGGGGGCCTTGGGGGCAAAGAGCTGGCTGTCAACTCAGCCACACGGCTTGCATGGACCAGCTGCTTCATGGGGAAGACTGACAACTCCCTCCTGCAATTTACAGCCTTTGAAAACTCACCATCAGGTCAGCTCTGAGTTGTTTCCAATTCAACAGCACTGAGTTTGAGGCTCTAGAGTGTAAGAAGCAGTGGTGATTCAGGGGTAGAAGCCTCACCTTCTCGGAGGTAGACTCTGGTTTGATTCTCAACCAGGTGGCTTCCTGTGCAGCCTGTCAGTGGAAGTTTATGTGCTGCTATGATGCTGTATCAAGGGCATTACAGCATCACAAAGACAGAGGAGAAAGAAAAAACCAAAACAGGCACTGGAAGAGGCTGGAAATTGCACTAGGGCATTGAGAAGCATAGGTACTGAAGCAAAAGGGTTAATAGAAGATTTCAAAGTGCAGCTTGAAAAGACAACGCAAAGTATTATAACAGAAATGCGCAGAATTGGAATTGGAAAATAAAAACGTTAGATTTTGCTCGGTATCTCAAGTTGAAAGAACTGAAAACCAAACCCAAGTTTTCAGTTGCAATATGGAGAGATGCTATGGAAAGAATCTTGAGTGATACAAGAAGCATCAAAAGAAGATGAAAGGGGGAAGTTGGAGGGGATACACAAACGTACCACGCCAAAAAGAACTGATCAACACAGAGATTTCAGAAAGTGCCAAAAGATCAAGAGCCAGTGGTAATGAAGGAAGACACTGGCAAGCTGCACTGCGGGCACTGGCAAAAAATAAGGCCCCAGGAATTGACGGAGTACCAACTGACATGTTTCCACTAAAAGGTTCAGCCCTGGATGGGCTCATCAGTCTATGCCAGGAATCTGTAGGGCTGCTGCCTGGCTGACTAACTGGAAGAAATAGATATTTGTTCCCAAGAAAGGTGATCCAATAGAATGTGGAAATTATCGAACAATATCATTAATATCCCAGACAAGCAAATTACTGCTGAAGATCGTTAAAAAAAAAAATGGCTAGAACAATTCACAGGCAGAAAACTGCAAAGAACAAAGAACAGAAGTTCAAGTTGGGTTTAGAAGAGGCAGCCGGGATACCGCTGCTGATGTCAAATGGATCCTAGCTGAAAGCAAAGAAAACCACAAAAATGTTTATTTGTGCTTTATTGATTACGTAAAGGCTGTGTGGATCATAACAAATTATGGCTAATATTGAAAAGAATAGGAATCTCAGAATATTTAACTGTGCTCATGTGAAACTTATACCTAGGCCAAGAGGTCACTGTATGACAAGAAGAGGAGAACACCGCACGATTTAAAATTAAGAAAGGGGGCACCAGGGTTGTATCCGCTCTCCATACCTATTCAATCTGTATGCTGAGCAAATTATTCAAGAAGGAAGACTCTATGAAGAAAAATGTGACTTCAGGATTGGAGGAAGACCTATCAACTACCTGCATTAAGCAGACGAAACAACCTTGATGGCTGAACCTGAGGAGGATCTGAAGTGCTTTCTACAGGAGATCAGTCTATAGCCTTCAATACGGATTACATTTCAATGTCAAGAGAACAAAAACTCTCACCAGTGGACCAAGAGGCAACATCATGCTAGATGGAGAAAACATTGAAATTGTCAATTACTTCATCTTTTCTGGATTCACAATCAGCACTCCTAGTACCAACAGTGAGAAGATCAGGAGATACACTGCATCGGGCAAGTCTGCTGTCAGAGTCCTCTCCAAAGTACTGAAGAGTAAAGATGTCAGATTGAAGACTAAGGTGCACCTGATGCAGGCCATGGTCTTTTCTATCACCTGCTATGCATCTGAGACCTGGGACAACAGAAGAAGAATGAATGCCTTTGAGCTATGCTGTTGGAGAAGAGTACTGAATACCCCACGGACTGTCAAAAGAACAAATAGATAAGTCTTGAAGAAGGGGCAGCCACAGTGCTCCTTGGAGCCAAAGATGAACAAGCTTTATCTCATATACTTGGGGCATGTTGCTAGGG